GCTCCAATTTAGCATGCTGTTTCAATCACCACACGCATGAGTGCGAGGGTAGGCGTTGGCGAATATTGAGTTCGAAGTGAAGTATCAGTCTCATTGCAATCTTGAATCTAACTCATCCACAGCCTAATGCAGAACCCTATTCACCTTCGCTCTGCTTCGTTCACTACACACATGAGTGCGAGGGAAGGCGTTGGCGACTGTTGAGTTTAAAGTGAGCCACCTTTTCCAAAATCGCTTAACGCTTATGAATACGTCAATGTAGTCAGTTAGACCTCTGAATCATGCATATGATGCGTAAATAGCTTTGATTTAGCAGTGTTGTGTGTCGGAACTCATTTGTTGTGAATCGCGTCGGGGTCGCCGATTTGTTGCAGCGTGCAATAGCACTAGGTATGTTGAAACGATTTAGACAGCAGAGTGACAAGCGTTTATCCGAGAACTTGACCAAATCATCGTTGGTGTGTGCTCGTAAGTGTGTGTTGTTTCGTGTCACGTTTGCCAAGTGCGCGGCGTGTATGTCTGTGGGGCATCGTCTAGGCGTGCGTTTTCACAGCTCAGATGATTGAAACGGCGTGAGACATCGACGTGCTAACATCGAGAGCTTGGCGAATGTTAACACGTGTGGTGATAATCGCAGATGCTTGTTCACGAGAATGAGTTTTGGGTTGTGATCCGTGGGGTTGGGGACATGCCGTGAAAAGGGGGCAGTGTGTCAGAGAATGGAGCGACCGGATTAACGAGTGTGACTCACGATGCACACACATCAATAAGGAGGCATGTCAAGCTGTACGAAAGCCACCTGCATACCTCACCACCTACAGCCATTCGTGCGTACATCTCCTAGCCCGATCGGACACGCCAACATTCGCCTCTCATGTTATTGCTAACAGAACCAGAGTCATGGTATTTATGCACGTTGATTGGGATTGGTCAATGTAGCCAGTTCACCCATTTGCACATGCTCACGGCTAACTGCTGTCCCCTAAGAAGACCATGCCAACACCCACACGCGTTGCTGTTATTAATTTCAACTCACTAATCCTCTTCGAGCATGCACTCAGCACGTGTTTCAGGAACTTGTGTGACGCACTTGTGCTTTTCCACTGTTAATAATGCACCAGTTAGCCGTGATCGCAGCCATCAGCGTTTGGTTGTCCAGATATCTGTCAACGTGCTGATGAAACCAGTAGATCATGATTCGGTAGTGGGTTGTTATTGCTGGTACTCGCATGCTTCATCGAGACTGGGTGTGCTCGCGAGTTTATACAGAACTATTCTTTTCGAATTCTTGGCGCATACATGCACACACACACACTCACACAATCATTGACACTTAGCGCGGTTACTGAAAATTCCATACATCTCAGATGTTGATGTGCTAGCCACGGCCATCTCTTGCAATTGCAAACGAGGCTCTTCATTCACTCGCTACCCACTTCTGACTGATTCTCCTCAATTCTCCTCTCCACGCAACAAACCCTCTTCACGCGTTACCATTTCTACCACGAACCATTCACATGTAGATATGACTGGATAGGAGTTCGTTGCGCACAATGTTGACAGTTGCGTAAAATCATCTCATGATGATGCCCAAACACCTGTCATCCACACCTTACTTAGTCACTTGTTGTTTCGTGGTGTGCCACAACACGTGGATAACCTAACCACCAATAATCATGCTAGCTGTTCCAAAATCGCTAAACTAGATGCGAGTCATCCAACGTGCGTTTCTGTGTTTCGGGTGGCTTTAAGGCAAATTTTATTGCAGATAACCGAGGTATGATGTGTACTGCAAGTCGTTTAGATCACCCATCACCGCTTTAATGTTCGCTTGATTGATGTTCAAATACAAGAGTGGAAGCAGACATTAAACGTGCACATGTCTCCAGTAGGGTTAATTACTATGAATTTGGAGTCCCATGGGAAAACGTCACATAAAGCATGCAGACTGTAGTTGGCATGTTAATATCGCTTGCAAGAGCTCGTCTTCCAGACACAGAAGCCACATTCGACGTCTGTACCGAGGTTTGCATCTATCACTGCAATTGTCACGGCAGTTTGTCGAGCGAGAAAAGATGGAGCCGATGTTTGCAAATAAGGCCTGATAACTGACAAGCTTACGCGTGCTCATTAAGCAGACGTAACCCCTAGTAATAAATTGATGCATTTATATGCAGGGTTGCAGTCATGCAATCTGCCCCTGTTAAAGCATGCACGCAATTACGGATTGCGACGTTGCTCTGGGGCCACACGAATCGCTGGCATTTAGCCAACGAAGTCATTCACAGTGTAGTGTGTGCGGGCTTGCTGATGAATTCAATAGGCTCTTAAATGGTCACCTGCAATTACTCATTATGAAGGTGACTGGTGCCGTCTGTCAACATGGGCACTTTTGAGATATCTTGATCCGGCCCTCATGTGCCACCTGAAGTAGGCCAGATTAGATGAATCAGAGGTGCATTCTTGAGTGTGCATCTTAGTTGCGCCAATGCTTGTTTTGTGAGGCAGCATAACATGTTTTACAAGTAGCATGATTTGTGTTAGCCCTCTGATTTTAATTAATAATGAATACTTCCCAAAACAGAAGAACATTGCAGTGAGGCATAGGAGGAAGATTTGACGAGTTGTGAATATAGGAGAGATAGAGATCCTCTTCGGATGACTCACAACACTAATCGAGTCTGCGTAGTTCAAGCTGCCTGTTGATGAATCTTATAATAAATTTGGGGTGATTGAGTAGAAAAGGCACTGCACTTAATAAGGCAAAAGATTAGGAATCATGGCAATAGTTACATGTGGCAAAAAGCTGGAAGGGTGCAAACGTGGCATGGCGCGTTGTGGTTGGAGGTGAGCGGTGCAGAAGCATAGTCACTTACGAGACGCTTGCGTTAATGCAGTTTGAAGGCTCGAAGCAACTGATCTCACAATAAACTAGTCTGATTCACAATGACAAAGAGTAGTTGACCAGGCATGAGGTCAGCTGACACTCGTGAAGAACACGTTAACCACTAACTTAGTAACACCCATGCAAACAGGGGTTCCAATAAAGTAACACGATTGGAACAATCAGGATATTTATTCACTTAATTGATGACCCTGTCATTAAACATGCCATTCGCATCAACCACATATTAAAGTGTCTCATCGGATACAATGACGAAGAATTGTTGAAATTAGTGTGGGTTCTTACAAGGCTCAGGCTGCTTCACAAGACATCTGTGAACAAAAATCCATGCATTTTTCGAGGTATTTCACGGAACCATTCAAACACTGACTTTGAACCAACTAAGACAAAGTGATGAAAGGCAAATTGATTTAAGCAAAAATCCACAGTATGTTGTTGCCCCTCATCACCAATGACCCAAATAAATGAGATACTGAGTGATGCATCAATTTAAATGGCAGTGCGATGAGTTAATCGATTTACAATCGACGATGAGGCCTTGGCAATCACATTCTGCCAGATTGCGTCATGTTCATTCAGAAGCGGATTTGGTCAGCACCTTCACACATTTAATCACGTGAACCTTATGTTTTGGGCAATCAAAAGCATCTGCCAACGCGAATTTCAAACATTTTTGCTTTTGTAGTAAAACGTACCAGATTCTAGTCTGCACACGTCCTCCGTGATTTCAAATGCGAAACCTCGCGTGTCTGACTGTCACCACACCAGCAAAATTCGTAGTGAAGTCATTGCGTGTGAGTGTGTGTGCGATATTTCCAGGAACGAGTGAACATTATTTCAGACGATAACTGAGCTCAAATATTTGATTTTGATTAATGATTTGAGCAGTTGTAATCACGGAATTATTAGAATACCAGAGGGCCCTATATAAACCGACGCCAAGTAAGCGTATTTTGACAACAATTTGTCTGACAACACCAAATAATGAGCATGCGTAATGTGTTTGTTTTTCGTTCGGGAGCCCAGACGTGTCACGCAGAGAACGTCATCAGCACGGATACTTGCCAATAACAAATGTGCAATGGCAGTGGGACGCAAACTGTACTTTTCAACGAGTACAGTTGAAGGGACATTGTAGTTGTCTGTCAGATATGCACAACATCATCTATATTAGCAGCAGCAGCAGATGCAGCATTATTACCACTGCAGCACCTCAATTTACTTTTGGACAGTACGCTGGAATCAGCTGTAGTGGAAATTACGTGGTTTGTGGCAGGCGACATTACAGCTGCGACAAGTTCATCTCCTCTTCTGCCCCACTATTCATAGCTGTGCAAAATAGCATTGTGGATTTCGGCGGTTTCCAAGCCTGCTGTACAAGCCCTCTTCATTCTAGGGCTCGGGTATTCAATATTGATAAGAGCGGATGTGTTTGCTTAACGCGAATTGAATACCAGCCCTGATATGGACAACAGAGTCAAAGACCCTCAAGTGCCAGCTGAAGTTGTCACGGCGGTGCATCCGATGTCCCATACGCTGGGTCCATCTACACAACCAATGAGACTCCACACATTAAGTGCAGCTGTATGGCCCGGCACTGACCTGTACGGCTAAATTTGCCATCCTTGTTCACAACGAGGTAGAGGTTGTTGTGGGTTCGCTTGTCGCGGCCCGTGTAGCGGTAGTGCTGCAGGGGCACGGGCCGCTCCAGCGCCTTACACACGTGGATTTCAGTTCCACCGCGTTCTCGACCTAGTCAATCCGCAAACTCAACGACTTTGGTTGATGGGCACTAAGCAGCGTGAAGACGCAGAATGGCAGGTGAATGATCAAGAGGAGACTTGTGAGTTGGCTAATGGTGTTTGAGAGCAAATCGCGAAGCCCTAGCCGATGGAGCCTGCCTACAACGCAAGCCGTCGGTAAGTCAATGTGAAATGCTATTTACAATACTGTTTCAAAGTAAGCAAATGATCGTTTGGCTTTAATTGAGTAACCTGAAGCATTTTGTAACCCCATTCTTCTTCACTTGCACTGGTCTGCATAGCCAGCCACCACCACGCATTTTCCACTGGTCACAGAATACGCGTCATTTCAATGCTATTGCCTCAGTCGACGACATCGAGGTTGTCATCATGGACGAGATTATTCATGTGACTGCGTGAGCACCTGTCTTTGCCACCTGACGCCAACAGCTGATGCCAAGAGCTCATTTCTGTGAGAGGCTCTAAGCTGTAGTGAAAACGACCAGTGAGTAAGATGCTTGCTTTGTGGCCTTGTAGATGCACTACCTGGGTGACAAGGAGTGTTGTCACGTGTGGGAGCAGTTGCTGCTCATGCTGCCGCAAAGCGTGACGTTGGTGTCGCTTAGTGGCACCATGCCAAACGTCGTTGAGCTTGAGGATTGGCTCAGTCGATCACGCGGTAAAACTGAAATCCAAGTGTGTCAGACGCTGAAACGGCTGGTGCCCCTGCAGCACTACTTCTATACCGGCCGCAACAAGCAAACCAGCAGCAATTTTTACCTGATTGTGAAAAAGGAGGTCAAATGTGGCTGGATAGGTCAGTGCGATCGCACAGCTGTACTAGCAGGTGGTTGGTGTGAGATGGACGCCAACATGCCAAGTCGTGTGTATGCATGCGGATGTGGTAACAACGGAGGAATTGGTGAATGCCTAGACAGATGAACAGACGGCGCAGACACAAGAGTAATGTCAACATGCACTCGCTTCTACCATACACGTAGCGCAGAAACCCACAATTGCCTGATGTCTTGCAACTGAACTATTTCTCGGCATGGACAGGCGTGGATGATGGTGGCATCGACTTTGATGTGAACCCGGGGCTGGTGGAGGCCACCTATTCCTGGGCACGTGGTAATCCGTTGTCAGTGGTGGCAGGACAATCTGGCGCCGACGAAGGCCATCTGCTTTGGAGCCTTCAAGCGTCTTTGTGAGGTCCTGCAACAGGCTCGTAACGCATGTCATCGCTTTGGTTACCGGACCCTCGAGACACTGATGCGCGATGCTCATGTGGCTGTAAACCGAGGTGCATTGACCACGTCTTCCCTCTACATCAAAGACAACATGGTACATAGGGCTTCTTTCACCATCACAGCCGTCTCTTCCTTCATCTCGTTGTGCCGTCAATGCTACTGATGATTAATCCCACAATCGTACACACTTATTTCTGCTTTCTAGTTTTGTACCATCTTTTTTTATGCTTTCCTATTACTGCGTATTTCTGCCCTCTCTTGGATATTGTTTGGTTAAGTAAAGAACTCCTATTCGAATGTTTTTTTTATTAAATGGATGTGATTGAGGTGATTTGATGACTGGAGCTCCCAGTATTACAAGGCAATAACCGCACTTGACACAACACTCATACTTGGCCCCATTCAGTACGCTTGAGTTCCAAGTAATGGCTACTCACTTGTGGCATGCTCAAGTTTGGCGTGTTGCTTTAATCACAGCATACAGGTTTTTGAATGTTGCCATTCGAGACGTCAAAATGCCTATTTGTAGAACAATCTTTACAATTAAGCCTTCATTCCTATGAGATAGTTCAGTACAAATTAGGACGAAGTGGGTTTCTCAAGGACTATCCATGATGCCATGTTCATTGTAACAATGTAGCCATCCAGAAATAAAATATCAATCCTAGTTAAACTCCTCGTAGTATCCTCTTAACTGGAACTGCTTTATATTGACATGCAAGAGATATTTTCATGAGCAGACTGATAGAATTGGTCACATTGGCAAACCTGTCCTATTATCTGTGATCAGCTATCAAATAAGCTTCGTTCCTGAAAGCTCTTTGCACACCAAAGTCTTAAATGATGTCAAAGTGAAGTTCTTTAATTCAACTAATTCTGCCTCGTCACAAACTCCCTGATTGATCTCCTGAATTGTGTAGACTTATATGTCCTGCGATTTATCCGATGATGACTGACATCACTTGTCATGTGGACTTTCTCTACACGTCTCCAACACTCCGGTTTCGAGAACTTTGCCTCCTTCATTATGGCATCAGTTTTCTGTTACAGGTCAGTTCAGTTGTCATCCAAGTCAGAATATGCGAAGGAAGAAGGCAAACTGCTGGATACTTAGGGGTGCATTGATACTCGTCGGCAGACCCGTCAGCTTCAGATGGTTTTAAGGAAGCTCTTCATCGCCTTACACAACAAGCATCCGTGCCACCAATGCACGCGGGCACTAGCAGCTATACGACTGTAGCTCAACCGAGTTGCAAAAAGGGATTTTTTTTAGAAACAATACAAAATGAATTTTTACAAACTAATTGGCAGCAGATCAGTAATAGCCATTAGCAAATCAGGCTGCTAGGTTGGAGGAGGCGGTCCCGGCAGTTGCAAAACACGAACTCCAAGCAGGTAATTAAGAAAACGTGGGACGGTCCAACCGCAGTCTGCTTTTTCTTGGCGAATGTGCCTGAACTCCACGGAGCAGGGCAGAAAGGTGGAGAGGAGCAAAATCGTGCACGTAACAACAACCAGCACCACGATGTGGTCTTGCAGGTGCTCAGCGAACCACTTTTGTGTGCTGAAAATGAGCATTGAAGATTAAAATGTGTGTAAAATAAAATGACTATTCTGACTATCCGAGTGCGTTCATATATCACTTAGACACCAGCATCTTCCGACGCATGTAACGAGGATTATTTGTATTTTAAGGATACATTTTTTGAACCCTTTTTCCTGGAACACCTGTGTTCTGATGCATGTTTCTACCGAAAGGGTCTATTACACTACGAAATAGGGCAATTGACTTGATTTGGCAAAGAGCCAATGGGGTAGAAACTCACCATGAGGGTTCCCTGAATTGCTCCGACGCCACATTCACCTGTAAAGTCAAAACCGTTTTTCCAGAAGTTGACGATTTATTGCGCTAGGAAGGTAAGTAGTGATTCTGAGTAGGTTATTTAACGTTTTTTTCACATTTTACATCGTGTGTCTCCAAGCCCAAGTTTAATTTGAACTTATCTATCAACAACATACCGCTGGTATTATTGTACCAGGCCTTGACAAGGCTGTAAAATGTAAAACAAATCTGTCGTGCGTAATACTTAGTGTTTTTATGAAAAAAGTAACACAAAAATCAAATTCGTATGATCCAACGTTTTTAAAAATATTTTTGAACAATCTAAATTTACATACTTGTTCTGGCGTCTCAATGCTGAAAACAGTACAGGAGCATATTTGAAGTTGCTTCTGCAATGGACGAACGTCAATAAGCACACTTCTGACTGGCATTTGCTGGTGGTTGCTGGTGAAACTAGTCAATGCAGTTTCAAGTTCGTCTGCAATGCTTTGTGGAGGATTTTGTTTGTAGGCAGCCAGCGTTATTTGTGGCTCCGAAGCAGTTTCTGCATCACTGATTGCGAGTTCGCTACACAACGAAGATAGCGTACTATTTATATTCTGCGTTAGCCTACTTGGTACATTTGAGCTTGTCTTCTAACACACGAATTTTGAATTGCAGTTCCCTTTTCTCCTGCTCTGTTAACTAGTACAATTATAAATGGAAACTAAAGCTTACCTCGAGCTGGTCCTCTGTATCTTTAAGCCGAGCGCTAGCATGCCAAACTTCCAATTCCAACTGCAAACGAGGTATAACTTTCCTCAAATGCTATATGCTTACCGTTGATAGCCGGCTTGACATTTGCTGGGACTTTTCTTCAAGAGCTTCGAGAATACCCTTTACTCAGCCTTTGCTTAAATGTTTTGCATGCTTACTTGCTGGGCCTGCATATTTTTTCTCGAGTCTGTAAGCAAGCCAAATTGAAGAGCATTCTGTTCTTCCGCATCTTTTAACTTTCTCTCAAGATCAGTCCGCTGCTGCTCATTATGCGAATATTTGAGCTCCAATTCTGAGAGTGCGAGTCTTAAATTCTTGCATTGGCTTTCCAACTGAGCCTCCAGCTGATTTTGTCGCTCAATAGTTTCGCGCAAATTTTTATTCTCATCTGTAGCATTCTTTAGTCTAAGGAAATAATTAGAAACTAATCTCTAATAATGAAACATATTTTTATTTGGAGCTAAAAATATACTGATCCGAGGTAAGTGCATTTATACAAACCCAACGTCGCATTTTTTTTAAACAAAAGGTCAAAAGGCAACTTATCATATCAAATGCAAATTTACCGCTAAACTTTGCAGCATTTATGCTCCTAACCCTCGTTTATGAGCAGAGATGGAGTAAAATAAAAATATTTAAATGCACTAAAATAACCAAAAAAAATCCTTTAAAAGCAGTCTCCGGGCCCAACGTGACAAAAGAGCAAGAGCGGAAAGGCGTCAATACTAAAGTAAATTAGCAAACTACTCTCAGTCATAAGAAACTAAACGTGAGCCCGATTGGTAGTCACAAGGAACATATATGCTAGAAATTGCAACACATTATGATGGATCTCATACTCAAATGCAAAATCAGGCAACACTTTTAAAGCAACGTTCTAAACTGATACAGATTGTGGTTCTTGGCATTTCACGATTATACGCGTGGCGGGTCGTGGTGAGACTAAAATGAGGCCCGTAATAGGTTCTTTTCTTACCGTTTCATTCAGGGATAATATAAGCCAAATGTTTCCGGTGAAACTTGCATGCGCATATTTTATTAACATTTACCAAAGCGTAGTTTATCAATTGTAATAACGTTATAATTAGCCGCAAGGTATCACTTAGAACACTCCTAAGCATAATGGGTATTCGGTTCAGAATTAACAGTTTCGTAAAATAGGGACAGGCTTCATAAAATAATATAATTAGGACACAAGAGATCAAAGAATCGCTGTAATGGCAAAACTGTTGCTGCTAATAACAAAAATGCAAATCCTTAAATATAATCAATTTGCGACAATACCCCATGTTAACCGTTTTCACGGCAGCGATTTCTTCAGTAAGCTCATAGTTACTGCTTTCTGAAGCATCGACCTGTTGTTGAAGCAACTGTATTTGATCAAGGTGCTTGCGTTTTTCATATTCTAATTGATATATGTAGTCGTCACTATTTACAAAACTAAACCAATATATTCATTTTTTAGATTCTACCGATTTTCAAGATCAATAAAACGTTCATGATTATCAAGCTCATGCAAATCAGCATCATTTGAAATTATATTGTTGATTTTATTTAGCAATTGTTCTGTAGAGTTCGTTGACATCATTACGCAAAAATATCGAACTGAATGCGTGAAATCAAGTAACTACGTTTGAACAGGTGTGAATGCGCGAACCGGACAGCGAGTTTTTAAACAATTACGTCATGACATTATAAAAGTCATTAAGCGACGCAAAAAAATTAACTGTGATTTCTTAACGACAACATTTTTTTTAATTTTTTTATTAAGTGGTAGGTAATTGTTAGCGCAATCCAGAATCCATGAAGAATCACCTAGAAGTTTCATAAAAACTAGTTTAATAGTGGGGCGACGTCTGAGGGCGCAGACATATTGGACCACGCTGGCTTTAGCTAACACTGTGTCTCTCTGCATTCTAATGGCATGCGAGGAAGATAAGCAGCCAACCAGAGAAGGACACGAATGAGGAGCAGTATGTAATGAGCGGCGTGGCCAGCGTGGTGGACTCGAATGGAAGGCGCCTGGCGTGTGGCTCTGGCTTGTGATTGGTCAATAAAGCCTGCTCTGTTGTACCGTTCTTTTTCCTATTAGGGCTCGGGTTTTCTACAGTAGTAAGGGAATGCGTACACAAATGTACCACCAAGGTTTAAGGGTACATTAAAGGTACTGGTTGCGTAAAAATGTGTTATTATAAATTCATGTGAAGTGCATCCATTATTTTTATCATGTTTTTTTACTTATACTTTTTTTCCATTTGAAAATTAATAAGGTATGCTTGACACGAGACATATACAAAGGATTTGCTGTTTAGGTTGTTATATAATCTGTCCACCTTCTAGTACGACTCCACACTGCCTATAGCCCAAGGCTCGTTTCGTTGCATTATCATAACAATTATTATGCTAGTCTAATATGTTTGACAGTCATTAGGGTGGTTTAAGTAAACAGTGGTTAAAGTTCTGCGACTCTTGTCGACTTGTGGCTCAATGGGGATGTGTGTGTGAGGCTGTAACCACCGGGTCCTTGGACGTGAATAAACACGACTCACTACACCTTTCTCCCTTAACGAAAGGAACGGACAAAAATTTTTTCTTCCAATAGTATAACCTCTAAAGTAGGTCGCAGGTATTGTGCGGCCGACTTGCGGTGTCCTCATCTCAATAGCAGTGTTGCAATTGTTGTGAACCTAAAAGCAAGCTTTTGAGGTTAAAGAACCAAATCAAATTATGCAAAATTGAAATCTAAATGCAACAAACTAGGCGAGAATTGAAAGTCAAGATGGATCATTTCTGAGTGAGACAATGATCAGGATAAGAGAAAAGAGGGGCTTAGGCAATGTAACGATCGGGGCAATGAATCAACTTACCATAGAGTATAGTTGCAACTGATTATTGTTAAAAAGGATAAAAGTTGGCCGCCCCTGGGGTTAGATGCTTCGCAGCGTCTCCGTGTCGAAGAATGCTGGTTTAAGGCGGTTAATAGATCCGGCGTATTCTTTTACATTTTGTTAGACTATAAAACCTCTTTTTTCTCGTTTCAGTACTCTTAGAGGTCCACTGAATGACGAATGACATCATGCTTTATAAAAACTTGGGTTAAAGTGGTTAGCGTTCTCATGATGTAGCAGAGGACCACAGAGTTTGAGTTGATATCAGTTTGCTCATTGCCTTCCTCAAATAATTAATGTAGCTGCTTGGGTCCTGTCCAAAGATTCTCAATGTTGCTCAAAAAATCATTTCCGCAAAGGAATAACGAAGTCTTACTTTACGGCTGATCAAAGCCTACGATACACGAGGAGTAACGCGTCCTACTGACGAGACGGGTCACTGTGAGCTGCTAAAGCTGCTTTCTACCATGACATTAGATTAGGGTGGCAGGCGGTCGTAAGAATAAGGTTTGAGCCGTGTAAGAATTTGGAACCAGCTTGACTCGAATCACGTTCTTCCGTCAGCAATGGTGGTGCAGAGGACTCCAAGAAAGGTAATCCATTTGTTTTCAAATGCTTTCAGCTAAGGTTTTGGCGAAGATGTCTAGCATTGGGAATGCATCATGCCATTGGGTGAAACAGCAAGCTAAATTCAAGAGGTAACGGAAACTTTTCGAGTGCGGCAAGGACCCAACAATATCGACGTGTACATGATCAAACCTAGCGTCAGCAACGTTAAATTTTACAAGAAGTGTCATGCTGTGCCCGTCTATCTTGGATATCTGACAGCCTACACAATTTCTTGCCCACTCTGCAGTGCCTCGATTCATGGCAGACTAGACACAAGGACTTGATATCAGCTTCTTTGTTGCTCGTTGACCAGAATAGGATAAAGCCTTAAGAGCTTGGAACATTGGGTGCACGTTGATTTAGAAACGACTTGATGTTTCACACTAGTTGAAATGCTGCAAATGATTTCGCGTGTGGATAAGAGTAGAGGGGCTTCACTCATCTTTAAGTCAGTGTTTTGTCTTCGAAACACCTGCAATGCGTAATCGGAATGCTAGGTGACCGTCGTATCCTCGAAATCCACGTGCATGCTTGTGTTTACAGCGTCGATGTGCAAACGAAAGATTGCATCAGCTGCCGTATTTTCCTCACCCTTGACATGACGGATGCCAGTTAAAAACTGTAAAATTTGATATATGTGTTGTGATTCTTGTGGTGATAATCAATCGGAACTTTGATTGGGAGTTGCTGAACTTTGAGAAGATATCTGTATTGCTTAACCGCAAGGCAGATAGCCAGACGCCTATGACCGGAAATGCCGCAGGTTTTTGATCTTCCATGAACTTGACTGAAAAATAAACTAGCGGCTGAACTGCTCAGCTGCTGAAAGGTAGCCATAGGTTATTGGAGACAGTAGGGCATCAGAGCGTTGATATATGAGTGTGGTTGTCTTTGGCAAAGCCTCCATTTCGGCTCTAAAAATCTCAAGTGACTCTTTGATTGTGGTTAGATTTCTAGAGCAACGTTAAAGAATATTTGTTAACGACGGAAAAGTATAAGCTGCATTAAGTAGAAGCCGGCGGTAGGTATTGACCGTGCCCAAGAAACGTCAAAGTTGGTTGATGGACTTCGGTTCCGGGTATTCTCGGATCCCTTTTATTTTAATATAGGCAAGCTTAATTCTGCAGCACAGAACGCGTATTGGAATAAAGTTATGGAACTCGGAAAACATTTTAACAGATGAACAATAAAACCATATCTGTCAAGATGGTAAGGGACTACGTCTATTTGGTTTAGATGTTCCTCTTGACCTGCAATGGCAGCAAAAAACATTGTCAATATTCTAAAATACAATATCAAAACTAGAAACGTTGAAATGTGTGAGCTGCATTTCTATAACCTGAAAGGCAATTGCACGAACACGAACAAAGCGAATATCGAAACAACAGCCACTTTAGTGATATCTGATGGTTCGACAGGGATCCGATAATATGCCCGCTCCAAATTTAATATGCAAAACACGGACTTTCTTTGTAGGTTCAAAATTAAATCATGCAAGTTAGATATTGGATTGAGATCAGGAATTTTTATTGCGTTTAATGTACGATAATCACCTTATTGACGCCATACACCTTTATTAAAGCCTACATTGTCGGGCTGCGTCCCAAAGGTTTCGTTATACCAATACAATCTTTGGAACAACGAGCGTAAAGAGGACCTGCGGCAAGAATGTGGGTGGTTCCGTCTAAATTAGTTGTTATGTCTTCTCCCTTGTGAACCGTTGATTTTCAAGGCGTCAATTACTGCTTCATTCCTGTCTAGGTGGCTCATTAAGAATATAGAGGTTTTACTCGCGCCTACAGACAATAAGCCATTTAATTATCTTTAGAGTGTTAGGTTAATTTCGTCGCCTCTATTATGAGGTCAGTGGTACCTGCCAACTGCTCTATTGTTTGATGCTCAATCATGGGACTTAGATGGGTTGGATATTGCTTGGACGTCGCTTGAAAAAAAAAACATTTCCAAAATGAACCTTTCAAAGGCTTGATGCTGGAGAGTTGACGCATCTTTCTTACGATCTGAGTAGACTTCAAGTCTTCCAAGTCATTGTTAGATAAAAGTTGATTAATGCCTTCAGATGTGATCAGTTAGGTACGCTTAAGAAATGCTGCTATTAAATGGTCGTAAGGAAAGTCGTTTCCGGGGAGAAGCAGTATGGCCGAAATCTTGTTGGTCAGTTTATTGATCAAAATAGGGGCAAAGATATAGTATTTAGCGTTTTGGCTGACAATGTTAGTGCCACTAACGAAGAACCAACATAGAAGAGAATTCCGTGAAATTTGAGGCTGTTTTAAGTTGATTTCATCCAAGGTAATTAAGGGTTTGATTTCTAAAAAGGGCCATGTCGGGTTCGCCAACTTGTAATGGTCTTACACAAAAAGCTAGATCCTAACTTAAGTCATCGTTGAACTAAGTCCTCTGTAACAGCGAGGCCGATTGTAGTTATCTAGGCGCTGATCCAATAAACGAAGACGAACAGTTTATAATGATGATGGCGTCGGGTATGCATTTAGTTTCTTGATGCTATTGAAATACTTAATAACGTGTTGCGAATTGAGAACAAATCCAATCATGAGTAACGCATCCCCATTTCAGGTTCCACGAAGGGACTAAAAGCAGAGGACGGTTCATTGAAGACTAAAAAATACCGTCTTTATCCCAGTGTTAATATAGACTGTAGCCATGGTCTGTGCATATTGAAATCATCCTGTCTCTTGCTGTCTCATGCCTTTACTACTGACCAGAAAATTACACCTCGCTGTTTGGTCACTCATTATACTACTACTCACCGGTCATGTCTCTGGTTGGCTACAGATGATACTCCTTGGCCATTCAAACACACACTGAACGACGATTGGCTGAATTTGGCGTGATTCAATATGTCTGCGCATTAGTACGGCGGCAAACATACTGCATAAGTGGTCTGTTTGGTTTTTCAAAGGTTGTCTTTCAGTATTGTTCTATTCTTTACGAGATGTTGCCTTTTTAGTCATGAACTTTGCTAGCGGATTTCTGATTTTGTTGCTATTTACGGTAGAGATATTTAAAAAAAATTGAGACCTAGTGAGTTACGGACTTGCGAACACAAGGATAAGTTGGGCTGACGTATTGTTCAATTGAGCCTTTTTAAGTCCTTGGTCACACCAGAGTGTTTTGACCAGGTGCCCTTTTCTTCTTTTATCAGGTGTTTTCTCCACCTGCGTTTTCCCTTAGTTTTGTTTTGCTCGTTGGCTTTGCCAATTCACAACATTTTTGTCAGTGTACACACTTATGAGATGCGCAAAATGATTGGTAATTTATTGAAAAAAATAAAACTCCTATTTTTCGCTGATCATATTACTGACCCGCGATCCATCTACTAACCGTCGGTACTGGTTTCAGACCTTGAATTCCATCTTGCTTTGCGTCGTGCCTGTGTATTTAATGTTTTCTCTTTTTGACTGGGCAGGAGATATGCGGGTCAAATTAGTTTGTTTGTCTTACTGGCATTATGGGTTTCGAATTCACATTCAAATAATGCTCTTACTTGGGCGCTGCTGCTCCGTTTTCACTCGAAGGTATTTGTTTAAGTACGAAGTGTAATCCATTAGCATTTAACCGGTAAACTCCGCAACGTTGCCGAACATTTGTTTGAGCATTCTCCTAGTCTTGCTCAAGACATTTTTTTTATGACACGCAGATGTTTGTCTCTTGTTATTTTTCAGTTTCCAATGAGTCTGAGACAGGCCCTTCGCGAATTGGAACTTCCTTTGCCTGAGGAGGAAGTCGAGTCAACAAAACCGAAGTCGTCCGAGCCTAAACGTATGAAACACTTTTTTTAACCTTTATCCATCTAGCTAACCCACGTAAGTATGGCCAAATTAAGCTTCTGAGGAACCAGCGCCGCAAGAAAACGTCAAAGAAGACGAAGTCCTGGAAACGGTTCAATTCCAGCCTTGGTAAGCCAGCTTTGCATATGAACCGAACCGAAGTGCGTGAATTCACTCTATGGCATATAGGTGACATTCGCCTTTGGTAACTGCATTTACACAATCGATTAACTACTGGAAGGCCAAATGCTTTAAATTGTAAAATGACTCGTACTTTACACCTGTCAGTGGCCCCTTTAAAAGGTATTAAACCCGGGAATTTCTGCATTTCACTACTCTTGCAAAGTGTTGATTGAATTTATGTTTTGATGATATTGCCTCAAACATCGCAACTTTTATCGATTTCCGTGGTATTAAAATTAAATCGATAAGGAGTACAGGTGATATGGTCTTTAATTTCGAAACAAGTCTTTAGAAAGTTAGCCATGGAATAAGCTTCGAAGGTTTTTTTACGTTCTCGAAGCGTATGATTTCTTCGATTCCCCACAGTACAGTTAGTGGAAGAGCGATTTCCTAATTATTACGAAATTTCCACTTTAGGCTTGATGGCTGCCAGCAAGACAAAGGTGAAGGCGCCAGCAACGAAGACAAGAGTTGAGCCAAACCAAAAAATGATTGATCTTGGAAAGTCGATATTGCGTTCTCGGCAGAAACTCTTCAGTCGCACAAAGCCTCCTCAGAAGCCCGTAATTATCAAGAGCCTCTTTAAAGAAAGGGACTTTAAAGAGTTCTCTGAGGACATGCGTACCCTATTCTGTTCGTAGCTTTCTCAGAAGAAAATCCTTGTACAGCTACCTGACCCTCTTCTTTATTTGGGTAATTTGGTCTGTGTGCATCTGCCTGAGAGGTCTGTGCCAAGTAAGATGACGATGCCCTCGCATATGGTGACAGCAACTATAGGAACTGATGAATTGGTCAGATCCACTCCACTCAAAGAATGTTGTTCGTATCATTTCGGTTCATCAGGCAGTTGCAATTGAAGCAACTCGGCATGTCAGCATAGCACACGTTTATCGTCTGAGCCTGTCGGGGCTTCTCATTTTTAGAAACTTTCGCAAGCCGCCAATTTGTTTCTCTAATCTTCTAGCACTCACACCTTTCGTTGCGTAAACAACTAGTTCTCTCAAACATTCTGCTGTTGAGCGTCCCGAGGTTTGAATATTGCTAATGACGGGGATGATTCGCCACTCAACTTTCCACACTGGAAAAAAACCCTCTTAGAAACCGGTTGCCAAACAAGATCTAAGTAATGGTAGTCGTGACTGGTGTGCTTTGGATCATGTGCAGGAAATTTTGACCTGGTTGTGCCGAAGAACAATGCGCAGTTTGGGGCGCAGACGAATCTGTAGTACGACACAGCAGAGTTCAAGGAAATCACCGCGAACGAGAATGGAAGACCTGGTCATGCACATCGTTCGTTAGACCTTTCAAGAACTAGCTGGTCACCACCAAACACAGATGTCCCTAATTGTGCGGATTTGTCAAATTGTAGGGTCTGCTTAGGCAGTGGCACAGTCGCGGGGTCTGCAAAGTGGCGTCTTCGAGTTTGTCCCCGTTTCCTGATTTATTAGGCTAAACGAACGCCATCAAGCGGTCGTCCTTCGTGAGTGTCGCCCTTCGCTCGTTTTTGCATCATGGATAAGCATCACTGGTGATATGCAAGGAATAACCGTTTGCTACTACTTGGAAACCACGGATTTGCTGATAGAACGCAATTTTACTTTGCAAATAAGATGGTACAACACACACACACACATATGCAGTGGTGCTTAAGAAGTCAGCAAAAATGCACAGCCAATAAGAAAGATTGTACAAAATAATGGTTTTTCAGTGTGCTTGCCCACTAACTTTCCGCGGAAGGTTCAGTTTTACTGGGGGACGGTTTTCGTCGTGGTAGGCGGGGTCTTTGTCGACAATTCTGTCGTGGGGGTGCTTCAAAAAGTAAAAGTTGTGTATTAACGACTCCATTCATAAATAAATCTCGACCAGGTCAAACTGTTACGATAGTCGCAGGAACGCCAACTAGATGGCAATCTTGTGGTGCTTTATGAATAGTGCATTTTTATGGTTTGACAACACAAACCCGTGTCTAGTGCCCTGACTACCAAACTGTTGTGAATCGTGCTTATTCACACCCCTTAATCCGTTCGCTCCACCCCCGACACAGGGACCCCCTTTTCGCAGCATGTTGCCAGCCGCGCGGATCCTCAACTCCCCACCCCTCATTCACACGGATATTTATCTTGGATTATCCTCACACCTAGGTGTCCATGTTAGCGCATGTATGACACACGCCCGAGGTATAAATACACACGCGCAAATCCCACACAGGACACCAACGTGGTTGAGCTTTAAAGTAAATGGTTGTGCCCCGTCCTCTCTGGTCTTTTTTTTTCATCGCGGGTATCACGTCCATTAATTATGCCGCCGTACACTCTGACAGACGTCCCCATAATCACTCGGATCATTCCTTTCACAAACCACCGCCACTCATTCTACCAGCAACCTTCATCAGTCATGCATATCCTTTTATACACGGTGGCGAGCAATCAAATGAACCAATAATGCATTTCACGGCAGTAAATAGTAAATAGGTGTGTGGGAAGACTTCATATAATGTGGCTTGTTGTTCGAAGCAATTAAATATTAAAGTTTGGGTTTGGAAAGAGTACTAATCACTTCAACGTTTGCCTACAAAAATTTTAAGGCATTCCTTACATCCTTCATGGTAATTTTTACTGTTAAGTGTTTCCTTGGACCGGTATGTGAATGCAAATCTCAGAGCGTTATAGGTGAAATCCTTTGTTTGGCACGGCGTAGGTTTCCATTAACATGACTGGAGCTTGTGCAGAGGGCTGTACTGTCTGAACCAAAAGTTTAAGCTTGTTCTGGATCGTGTTTATTCACCTCCACCTCCGATACAGGGTTCCCCTTCTCGCAGCATGTCGCCAGCCTCGCGAATCCTCAATTCCCCACCCCTCATTCACACGGATGTTTATCTTGGATATCCTCACACCTAGGTCTCGATGTTTGCGCATGTATAACTCACACATCCGACGTATAAATACACACGCGCATGCCCCACACACAACACAACAACACCAACGAGGTTGTGAGTGCCTTGCTAAACGACCACCAACGTACCTGCTTGAAAACTTCGTGTAAATCGGCAAGCATAGCTTTGCGCTCAGCAAGGAGGTCCTTTGTGCAGTCGTACAGTCGACGCATTTTCACCTCGAGCTTCCGTTTGTCCAGCAGAAGTTCAGCGATGCGTGAGTCGCGCGAGACGAGAGCAGACGCCAAGTAACTTGTCGGCTTCTCTATGGTAGACAAGTGGTCGGAGATGCGCTTCGCTTCCTCTTTCACCGCCTAAAGTGTTTGGTAGGAAATTGCTCAAACGGTTAGCACTAACCGTAACCATAGATTCGTTACACTTAGCGCATTCTAGTAACTGACAAATCTGTACCTTCCACGAGAATTTACAGTTGTCAACACAGACTGTTAAAATTTGAATAGTACCATTTAAAACAGTCGCAAGAAAGGATGAGTCAGATGCGGTTGCTGTTATCACCAGATATGATTGCAATCATTCACTCATGAACCAGTTGGAGCAAACGAAGGCGTGTTTTTGTGAAAACGGGTCAACCAAGCCAGTTTAAATCACGACTGTACCTGGAGTTCCTTCTTCATGTCGTCGTTTTCAGACTTCAGAGAGAGACGTGCCTTCTCCGATTCAGCCAGACGCCGAGACAGTTGGATGCAGTGTTCCAGACGCCTCGACGCTAGCGTGGGTAGCAAAGGGCCACCGCTGCTATTGGAGAAGTTGCCCACTTGAAGCAGCATAGCTGGCTGCTCTAGCACATCGCTAGGCAGCATGTCTTCGTAGCATCTCTCAGCGCAGTTCTCAATGGCCTTGTCCAATTCAGCTTCGAGGCGCTCATAGGTTGAGAGCTTGTGTGAGGCGACCTCTAGTTTGGCTTCCAACTGAGATACCTGGACTTTGCGCTCTGCATCCAACTGAGATCAAACGGAGAGAATTAATTACGTATTGACTATTTGCACTCACGAAAAGCAGCGTGACATGCATTTCGGTTCCCGCTACCCACTGGGAAAAATCTGCAATCACCAGTACTTTAAGCACCTAGACACTGAGCATACTTTCGAATCCAACTTCTACACACACCTCATAAAGCGCCTTTGAAGCTAGCTCAAATTTTTCAGTAACTCGTTCCACTTGACGAAGAGCATCGTTGCGGGCAGCACATGCCGCACTCAGCTGCGTCTCCAGGCTAAAGATTTGTGTTTTTGCAAAGACATCAGGTTGACGACCAGACACCCCGGCGGTCAGGCGATCATTGGTTAAACGGACACTAGTTAGGTCGTCACGAAGCCGCTTGGTTTCCAGCTCAGAGGTCTCCAGTCGGCGCTTTAATGTGTCCCGTTCACTCCGTAACGCGTCAACCTCCCTCCGTAGATTTACCTCCTCGTGATCCCGACGAGAATCGCTAGCTGCCTAGATCAAAGGAATGCAAAAATAGCCGTGGTTTTACCGCCAAAAAGTATAGGAACGCTTCAAAGTACACCAGTTACTAATTGGGTCAAAAGGAAAAAGGTTGGGTTTACCCCCTAACAGTTTGATAACCTCAAGTTTTATAAATAGACGGTTTGAAAAATTATAAAGAAGTGGTCACATTTAATCAGATAGAACGGTAACAGGTATTGGCAGTACATTTGCAAGCTCTCAACAAAATTGAACACCCACAAACGCACCCGGAGGTGTTCAATGAAGGTGACTGGAAGTGCAGTGCTGCTGAATGACTGCAATTGTTTCAATTGATCTTGAAGTATCTGCTGTAATTTTTCGGCTGCGACGGAACGCTCAACTGCAGACGCACGCTCAGCCTCGGCTTTTTGCAATTCCTCGGTCGTTTCTCTACTGCGCTGCTCGCAAACTTCCAATTTACTCTTCAGCAACGAAACCTGTTTGGGACATAAAAGGCAATTCACTCAGAACCCAATGATAGCCAAGATACGCCGCAGCTATGTTATTTTGTTAAATAAAGCTAACAATTAAAGCAACATTCCTGGAAGTCCAACATGAATTGCATCAATGTGATTTACACCGTAAGTTGGTCACTTGAAATGATATTGCTTTAACAGAATGAAAATTGAAGAATATTTCTAACGAAACAGCATGCTTTTTGACAGTAAATTTACCTGTTTACATAGGTAGTCATTATTCTGTTTCACCAAACTTAACTGCCTTTCTAGTGCTGCACAATCTTCGTTAGCAGGTGTTTTTAAATTAGCCTTCGTTTGTGCTTCTGCATCCATAGTCATGGGGGGCGAATTGCTGATTACATGATTTCTTTGCTGTAAAAAAATGCTCCAATATCAATTTCGCCATAAGCTTTATTGAATTCTTTGCAAATTCCAGACATACTTGTGTACGCTTAACAGACTCAAAGAGTCGTAGCTTTACCAAGTCCACTAGAGACAGCTGGCTTCCGTCCTGGCTTTTTAGAAATTCATATTCGGTTTGAGTAATGGAAGATTTGCTATTTTCTTCAGAGCCAACTTCCATTAGAAATCTCCGCAATTTTTCCCCTTCTAGTCGAAGGACCTCATGTTCTGGGTCTGGAACCAGAGGTTTCACATTAGCGGAAAGTTCGGACTTAATGGGACTCCCAACATGTTCCTTAAACACAAAAACAAAACGAAACACAGTCTACAATATATAAATGTTTCTAGAAGTGTTGCCTAAAAGGTATATAAAACCTGTCAAAACACTGACGTCACTTGGTCTAGCGATAAGTAATTTAAAAATATCAATTTATTCCGATGAAAATTGCATTTTTGCTTGAGATAAGAAGACCACACAACAAAAAATAAACTTTTCGGAGACAGCAGCTTGAGTAACAGGTAAGAAATCCTGAGAGTCTTGCGTAAATCTTTGGACAAATAAAAAGCTCAAATTCTGACCAGTAGGTCATCTTTCAAATTTGGTTATTCTTCACACCAACGAACTTTACATTTGCAAACACAAGACTAATAACGCAGTAAATACAAATTCTGTACCGAAAGATGAGAATAAATTGCAATCAAACACAGTTGGATCAGAAAATAAATTTATTGACTTAATATTAAAACCTCAACGGTTTAGTTAAGCAGCTAAACAACTTATTTAAATACGTACACTTAGATACTGCCTATGAGCAGCGGCTTCAGCCCTCATATTCTTTAATTCTATGTCTTTTTCGAAGACCTTTATCGAAAGTAGTTGTATTTCATGCTTAAGTTTCCCAACGCTGTCAACGTCAGAATTTTCGGTTAAATCAGAGACGTCATAAGACGCAAGTATGTTATCTGCATTTTGCTTTGGTTCTAAGTCCTCGTTCGTCAAAGAGTTGCTACAATCCATTAAATGCGGTCCAGGTGTAAACAAAGTCAAAAAGAGACACATCAAGCCAGTAGCTTTAAACAATGTTTTTTATTCATTTAATTATTAAGAATGATTCCTGAGAGTGGGCCTCTGCTTTCAAATGTCGAGACGAAAGTGTATCTTGATATTGCACATGCATATACCTCATCGCGTCTCACATTGCTCAAGTTGTATTTGAATTTTTTTCCGTCGTGCATTTTATTCTTATTTTGATGATTTTACGCAATAATTTTTAAATTTCGACAAGTAAGAGATGACTAGCCTTCTAAAATTTTAATAGATTACTAATTTCATAATTTTTTGAATAAAAATTTAGAGCTGCACTAGCCACACATATTAAAACTTAGGAATTTTTTTCTCCATTTTTTTCTATATGTTTAAATTGCATGTAGTTTAACCCAAATATTCCCTTTTACTCGTTGGTATGTGAATATTAATATTTTCTTCCCGAGGCCAGGAATTCTAGTCGAAGATTGGCATCTCAGCCCGGGTGAGGTTTACCTGCAGCATTTTGATTTCAATGGCTCATTCAGTTGATTTGTAGTGGAAAGAAATGGTGCTAAAGATGAACGCAATAATTTTCGTCAACCGCTAAAAAAACGCATTCAGCGTACCACTTCCCCAGTTACTAGCGGATGAATTGACTGAATTGTTACAAGCTAAAGTGCCATAAGTTGACCCTCAGGAAGCCACGATAGGCCAATCTGTAACTCAGATAACAAGCTGAGTGATAGTCATAAAGTCTCTTTGCAGATGCATTTCTCAATGCTAGCTTTGAACTTTTAATTTTATTTTATGAGCTAAACAACACATATTTACTCGAAAAGAGAATGAATAGAATATATGTATTTGAACATGTAAAGAAGCAGTGCCTTTAACAGCGCCATTAAATTTAAAGTGCAAACACTAAAAGAAAAACTACGTGGTTTATAGCAACTCCATCTGAAAAATGGATCCGAAATGGTGATTGTGACTTTAGGAATACTTTTAATATATGTAATACTCATTTGCACCAAGTGTTTAATAATTATTTAAAATTTTAAAGGTAAAGATTCAGATATTATCAGAAGAAACATAGGTTTGCTAGTAGCTGGTTCAAGTAAGGAAGGTGGCCTTGAACTTAACCGTACCACGTTTGAAATTTGAAATGACTGCACATAAAACGTGCAAATGCCATTAAGTAGTGACCTTGATACATGAAGTAGATGAATGCAACTATCGGCGTTTTCAGCTAGGTGATATTAATGCCACACAATTTAAGTTCACTCTTTTTAAAATTTATTTAGGAATAAAATATTTTCCTTTTTTTTTTCATCCCATCGACAAGAAATCAATATTAATGACATTTGCGCTACTTCACTTAGGCGCCAATCAGACCGAATCAAATTACAAAGGCAGAGATGTCCCCGAGTACGTTATAGACAACCTGCCTCATTCGAAATCACTTCCAACCACTTAGCCAATCTTAGTGTCGGATCAATAATAGAAATTCAGCCCACATCTAAACTAGTGCACGAAGCCAATAATCCAAAATACTACTTCGAGTTTCCAAGAATATGCACCTCCACATGGGAAGGAAAGAATATGGGTAAAGTTAAATGTAGGGTGCAGGAATAAACGGTGTCGAGCTTCCACAAATGGGAACATGCATAGAGGAAAGGGACAAGGTCTGAGCAGTCCTTACAAAGACGGCGGGGCATTAGAACATGGAGGTGTCAGGGACACAGTTCTGGGAACTCTGACGACGAAATTGGTCAAAGCACAGCCAGGATTTCACTCGATTACGCTGCTTCGTGCCTGCATCGACGCAAGCTGATTTTGTATCTGAAAATTAAGAAGAAGCCATTGGGATGCGGCAAAAAAACGAAAAAAGTAAATCTATGTGGCTAAATAATCCTACATCACTCATAGACACTCTTATTCACCATTCTAACCACTTGGTAATGACAAAGACAGTAGAAAAATTAAGGAGGAAACCGTCAATTTCTCCAGAATACCAATTTGGAGTTGAAACTGTTTTATACAAAAGCAACCTGTTCATTTTGGATAAAAAATAAAACGAGGTTTGCGGAAAAGCCGTCCATGTTGGAAAAAATTTGGCACTCATGGAAAACAACTAAAAGAGACTTATTACTACTAAGCCAACGATTTGGCATATAGCTAGGGGAAAACAGGGAGAAAATATTGCAGAAAAGGCAGCTTTACGTTTGAGAATGAATTTAGGACCGGCAGTGTGTATTTGCGTAGGGTCTACTAACCAAAACAGGAGTTTTAATTAATCCAGGATTTGATAAAACGATGCGGCTACTCCACCCAATTAGGCATCCACATTCCCAGGGTGAAAAACGCAAAATGGGCTAGTCAGCGGCCCGAAATATCCTCGACCGACATTGGAAGGAAGTAAAGGGAAAAGTTCAGGTAGGCAATTCAAGTATTGAACACTACCTTAACTGCAAGCACTTTAGGCATCCAATTTTTCTGCGTTAACTGGCAAGAGGTTATGATAATAAATATTGTAATTTAATTACACGCACACATGATAGCCAGAGCGAGGACTTCTAGCGGAATTATGATCGAAATTAGGAATCAGTGAATGACGGTGACGTTGGGTCCATAAGTAGTTACGACAAAGTAGCCAGCACGAGTCAGTCACAAGCATAGATCGCACACACACGCTTACTGGAAACTAGAAAAACGCGAGCACACCGCTACGCAAACCAACCAACCAAGCTGCCACAGAGGACTAAATTTGACCTCCTAACCACGTGAGGTGTGGGGATAACGCCGACGTCTGCTGAGTGGCCTTACCTGGACGAGGTAGGACTGCTGGGTGGAGTTGATGGCGGCGGCGGCGGCAGCTGTGGGGAGGTTCACGGAGGCGGCTGCCACGGGGTGAGGCGACGGCGAGGCGTTGAATTGATGTGGAGAAAAGACCAGGTCCGATGTTGACGGGGCTGCCGAGGTGGCGTGGGGACCGATCGAATTGGCCGCGAACGAGGACTGGTATGAAGGGAGTAGCCATTTACCTCTCTCTCTCTCTCTCTCTCGCACACAAAAACGAACGAACCCAGCAGATGTCAGCCATAGTGATCACCCTCATTGTCCCAACAAGACCAATTGTGTCTCATTTCTGGGCTTTTATGAGTAGTTGACTGACGGTCAGTGCTGTTTATGGCGGTAACACGTTGGTACCGAAATTTCACTTTCTGCTTTGCCTCCATATGCAGCAGTCTTTTAGTAGTTCATTTTTACATGGTAATGGTGTAGAAAAGCGAATGGAACTGGTAGCGTAGGGATTGCACAAAACGGGAAAAAACAGGAAACATTTTGGCTACAGCTCAGTGTACTGGTGATAAGCCAGAGCATGAATTGTCCCGCACGATAAATCTCATTTAACAAAAATGTCCCAGTAGCCTACCCACTCGCTCGCTTGGCAAGCGAATTCGAAAGTAGCGCTTAGCGACAGTAAACAAAACTACGGACGGTGTAAGCAGATTGCGGCTAATTTTTGGGAGGATTACCTGCGCTGTGGATTGTGGCAGGCTTCCTTGAAAACCACCAGGACCGAGTAAATTTGAAGGTGCGGTTGCAGAGGACGGCTGGAAGGCGTGGCCGACGGTCCAGTCAAAATTAGCCGCAGACGGGGAAGCCTGGTAGGCCGGAGCCGGCCTACTGGGCAGGTAACCAGGGGCACCGCTTGCGCTGAACATTACAGGCACCGAGGGAGGCGCGTTTTGACCTTAATAATTTTTTTGGTAAATACAAAGGAGAAGAGAATGACCAAATCAATACCACAAATATCAGCTATCCCCAGTAATGAAGTCACGTATTTCTACCGTGAGAATTAAATCCCGTTACAAACCAACTAACGAAAACAAGTTGACAGAGTCCGCACTTGTTTTGTTAAGATGACCTTTAGGTACAAGTAGTTCAGCTGACCTTGAGTTGGCCTCTAGTGGATGAATCTACATGGAACATGATTGGTTCCGTCTTAACAATCAGAAGCACTGTGTATTTTTGTTTGTGATTGGCGCAGACACACAGTTGAGCACTTTGATTGGTTGTGTACTCTGAAAACTACGAAAGAAGGCTTCAGTATCACCATGACTGCTCAGGTGTGCGTTTATCGTCATGTTGGTATCTTTAGTGTGGGGAGGGGCTAAGTTTGCCTGTTTGTCTATGTTGAATTGCCCTGCCTAGACACACGCGGACTAAAACGCGATCTTGAATTGGCCTATGGGAAAGAGGCCACTCGGACCAATCATGTACGGCCCATTTTGTATTGGTTGAACCTGGAAGCATTTAATCAAAGTTGGCATAATGGCGATCTGAAAGCTGAACAAAACCCCAATGCAGATTTGTATAAAAAAAGGATGAAAAAGTTTCTTAAACCCAGAAAAACCCACCATTGGGTTGATTAGGTGTCGGTTGGAATAGTCCGCTTCCACTGGCACCGACTTGAGAAATCGGAGGTTTGGAGAGCGCGTAGAGGGCGAGTATTGACTCCTTGGTTGAGCGCTGCTCACTACCACCGCCACCGCCGCCCGGGGACGAGTCACCTGCGAGGGAGGCCGCGGGGTCAACGGTTGCAGCGCCGGAGGGCTGGACCACCTCACCGAAATTGATTCCCAGGAGATCGGCACTGAAGGAGTTATGCTAAAACCGTGGGAAAGAGAGCGCGTGCGATGTAAACAAGTGTTCGAATCTCGCGTGCACTAGCCTATCGACTCATCATTCTGTTGAAAAATGAAGGCGCTGGCTTCAGAGCTTGGCTATACCATGAAATAAACAATAGAGATTCCGCCTGACGAAATTTGCCAATAGAGAATGAGGCCACTCGGACCAATCACGTAAGACCAATTTTTTATTGGCTGAACCTAAAATTGGCTGGAGTAGTTTGGTCGTCGTTGATAACTGATCGTTTGAATAAAAATAGCATTCTGAAAAAAATTACCTCTGTCTTGCAATAATCCACGAGATTACCGTGAAGAAAAAATAGGACGGAAAGAGGCCTTTAGCAGCATTGGGGGACAGTGTAGAAATGCTTTTAGTGGGTTTCATAATTCAGAGCATAGTTTGACTTGATCACACGTCTACCTCATGCTTTGAGTGAGTAGGAGTCGCCGGCTCGAGAAAGACACAAGAGATACACAATGCCCATCACTAGCAGAGCGAAAACAATAGGGGGGCTGGGCGTTCTCAAAGTGGCGGGGGGTGATTGGTCCAAATCGTCTTGTGACAAATAAGACGATTTCAACAATAAAAAGGAGCCATCCGTTAGCTAATTTTTCCCAAAAACGTAATACTCCCGACAACTTCGCACTAATTACAATATCTGATTTCTCGCTTTCACGCAAACCGACGAAATTGCCACGCACATACACACACATAACCCATTGGAGGAAGAGGTGTGCAACAACCCGCGCAATTTATGCTACGCAAAATAATAGTTAAATTTAGGTGGAATAAACAGCGTGCTGTGAAGTGTGTAAATAGAAAGACGAGGCTGGTAGAACAAGTGAGGATGGAGAAGGGGATAATGATGGCATGAGCAAGTGAATTTGACGCGGTCAGGGTGGCTTTGATCGACCGAAAAAAGCGGTAAAGGCAGAGCAGCGGGAAATTTGTTTGGGTGTAATTCGGGGCATTTACGCGGAACAAAGGCGGAATTCCAAAAAAATCGCCCTAGACACGTAGTCAAGGCAACGGGCCATTTAAGCATGGGAATTCAGGGGGCAGAAAAAAAATAATAGAAAGGCTGCTCCGATTGGCGAAAAGAAAATTCCAATTAGGAGGCTTCACGTTAGTTGCCGCCCCTTAATTAAATTGTCAGTACATTGTTCTAACACGTTGGTGAAATCAAACCCATGCGGGCACAAGGGTAGATTGGTGCCCGCATTCGTAAAAGAACCGGTAATCGGGACATCAACATCAGCGTAAACAAGCGATATCGAGCAATTGGCCTGAGAAAGCTACAGAAGTACTGCCAAGTGGGCATAATTTTGAATCGTTGCAGGTTCAAATGATAGCAGCGATCATCTCATAACCAAAAGGCATTTTTCGATTCACTGCACACAGAAAAACATGAATGATTAGCGGTTTTTTAATGTAGGATGACGTCACTGCTGCCATCAAACACAAATGCTCACAGTTTCGCCTAATTGTGTGATTAAATTTCAACAGGGTCAGAAAAGGCTAGTGGTTTTAGATTATGAATGATAAATTTTAGTGTTAGTAAGCAATAAATAGCGACACTAATTTCTCACATCCGAAATGTAGCTAGGTCTATACAAAGTGATCACCTCGATGATAATTGCAAAAGCATGTGCTGGTGCGCAAATGCCTCGATCCATATACCAGAACGGCAGATGTACCGTCTAAGCACTAATATGGACCCCAAAAAACATCAAAAGTACACGACTTATGAAGGAAAGTACTTGAAGATTGAAAAAAAAAGAGAATGCCGTGAAAAGCCACACCATACCCGTCCCAAGAGCTAACAGAGCTCGACAGCATACCGATTCGTGAAGGCTAAAGAAAATAAGTGCATCCAAGTCCATTGTTCTCCTAGTGAGGCATTTACCACGTACTTTTGTTCACCTGAGACATCTAATAGTGCAGCTATTATCCTCAATGGTTTAATGTCTGTGTTATACGCTCTACCAATAGGTAATCTCGATTGTAATCGATAGATGTCTTTACTTGATGTCAGTAAGACCTCGTGCTGGTACTGGTACTTAAAGTAATCATCTGCCGTTGCAACACAAGTGACATTACTTGGCAAAATAAAGTACACGCGGTAGCTCAATCAGGGATTCAGACAAGATGGAAAAAATGGGCCAAAAACCAGTCTTAAGGAGCTACGCGGGCATAGCATTTTAGTCGTCAAGGGTAAGTGGGCAAATTTCGGAGAAAGCTAAGTACTTTAGAAGGGGATTAGTAGATTCCAAGGGTAGTAATTATAAAGGTAAATAAACGCTTTCAACGCCCACTACATATAAGGCTTGGGTTACGTAAATCCGAATCGAATTCACTTTACGTCTACAACTATATCCGTGATAAAACGATGTAAATAATGGTATGAAACGCAAAAACTAAAAAGAGGAATCTAGCTTTGTCGGCACAACATCTTAAAAGGTATCTTGCAATGGATAGGTGTTCCTGACTATGCTATTTCCCGAAGTTATAAAATAGACTGCATTTAATGATAATAATAGGTTTCTATGTTTTTAAACACTACATTACTTCAGGTGCCGCAGGCTTGGCGGTCTGTTGAGGGGTTCCGGGTGGATTTTGTGGGGCTTTTAAAGCAGAGAGATCGTCACCGTCAGCCTGGTTCTTCGCAGAGGAAGAAAGTCCGAGAATATCGGCTGTCCCGCTGGCATCATTGCCATCAGGTTTCGCGATGGACTGTTGGCAGGAAATAAACCGTTGAAAGAAATTACAGAAAGAAATGCCAAAGGAGGTTGTACTAGACAGGAGTTAGCATTAAGTACTCAAAACTTTACCTTTTGGCCCCTAAAAGCCTAAAGACCCAGAACAGGAGGTAAATGCCAAAATAAGAACAATGGAAGAAATTACTGGAGAAGCAGTACCTTGAGCGTTCGACCTTGGGGTTTCAGAGCTTCACCATTCTGGAGGGGCAAGTTCACAAACCTAGAAGTAGTTGCCCTCTTTTTACTTTGCTGTTCAAGGCGAAGGAGTTCCTTATCAAAAATAAAATGCTGCTATGAATACATGGGTACCAATTGTTTATGCAGTCTAACTGTCATCTTCAACCAAAATTCAAAAAAATAACATATATTTTGTCACTAAACTAGGCAGGGAAGAAATGGGAGCAACCATACGACTGAAATAGGGCAAAAAACCAAGAACCAGTAACACATACCTTTTTCAAAGATTCGACATCAGGTTTTGGAGGGGAGAAATCAGACGCAACATATCTCCTTTGTTCATACTTGGCTCGAATGAATTGCTCAAGAGCCGAATCTGTCTGTGGTCGACGGAAAAACTCAGGAAGATTAGCTTCGTATATTTGCCGGGCACGCCGGTTACCAACATCTTTCAGCATCTAAAAATACAGCTTGCTACAAGATGACAGGCTTACAGCAACCTGGTGAATATCCCAAGAATCAAGATTGAGAGACTTCACCTTAGAAATATGGACACCTAAGCCCCGGTGTATTCCAGCGCACCGGATACACAAAAGGACTCCTAGGTTCCACGAAGCCCAGCGAGGCCCTGTAATTTGAAATAAGGCAAATAAAGGACACCGAACCCTTGGCATCACAATCAGCACAATATTTGTTTTCCTCATCCTTGACAATTTCAGCAATTATCAATTGGAGGCGTTCAATTTGCTGTTTATCGCCCTGGCGCGACGCAGACATCGGAGTCCTTTGAATTGTGAGCCGTGTAATCAAATCAAATAAAGTAATAAAATAAAAAAATCGACCTCCTTCTAAAAATTAAAAGACTTCATTATGAATGAAAAAAAATGTTTTTGTTAACAATATTTATAACCTATATCTCTTGATTATCAAGTTGCGAAATGCCACGCTTTAATCTGGTCCAAACAAGGATTGTGAGATGTCAACAAAATTTAACCCTAATGAATTCAGTGCCCAATTTCTCCACAGTCCCCCTTAAACTACTATAACATATTTTGGAGAATTGCATTTCTGCAACATTCATATATCATCTTAGTAGAACAGGCCTGGTTTTCATATTTTCATATTTATCAATAATCGAAATGTTTAAGAATCTAGATTTGTGGAGTCATTACTCAAAAAAAGTTAGAATTTTTCAGAATTGCCAATGCCAGGAAATTAGCTCATGCACGTTTGCCAAAATTTACAGACAGATTAATGCTCCCTCTGTATAACCTGTAGGTCATTTTTATCTCTGAGCCGAACTTTTGGTAAATATTGAATGGCGAATTGACAATGATCTATTTTGAGGCGTAAGGTGAGACCTAAAATAATGAGTTTAAATGGTAATTATATCATAAATTTAGGTTAGACGTTGAAGGATGTCTACTTGGAATATGTATCAAATAGAGCACAATCAAAATGACCAAATTCCTGACTGCGTTTTTTAGCACACGGGGGATTTTTATAATAAACAAGTTCGTCAAAAGTCAACACTGGGTTTATGCATGAATCCACTTTCTTAATCACACACTACTGTGTAGTTCTCTGTTTTTATCTTCGACCGATTTAATAGCACACGCAAACGAAAAACGGTAGAAGTGTAAGATCAGGTAAGGTGAGGACTTTATGAAATCACGGCTTCAATACGACTAGAAACAAGTGCTAACCAAATCAGTATTATAAAGGTAAGGCGAAAGAACATGTTATGAACATGTAGTTAGTTGTAAAATTTTGGGAAGAAATTCGTTGCTGCTGAGTGTCGCTATTCTTCCAATAAAGAACAGCTTCATTAAACATAAATCACGCATTTTTATCACGCATTTGACAGAATTAGATTTACCTTGCCTCAAAAAGCTGGATGTTAGTTTTCCTCACTAAAATTTTTAATTTTATGAAGAAGCTGTTTCAAAAAACTGAACTCCTACCTTTAAATTACTGTCATCTTAAAATCATAGATTTCGAACGTCCTACAAAGTGACAGACTGTGATACCAAAATGACCTTTTTTAATAACGTGGATGTTTCTCTTTGCTCATTGCTTCTAAAGCGTTCTTTCCGTAATAAATGCACTGATTAATTGAAGCGAGAGGCTGCAAACAAGCTCTTTGTGCAACATAAAAAATTGTTTTATATATCTTAGTTCCACTACTTTTGATGGATTATGTTGTCATGACAACACTTTTTTCAATGTGCTGCTGCATTTCGGGTAGTCGTATCTGTAAGCTACTTGCAACTTTGTTCTGATTGACACATTGTCAACCATCGCAGAAAAAAACTTTTAGTGATGTTAGCTTAGCAACCCGAAGTTTTGTGGACTTGGATTTCGTATCTTGTAAATCAGTGTGGACTTTTGTATCCGATTAAGTATAAAGGTTTTTTCGAGAGAACACTAATTCGGCCTGGACCATAAAAGTACACCAGATCATTTTGAGTAATTTGTCAGAACAGGGTGGTTTAGGTTGATTGACGGAAAACAAGAGGATTGTGTTGCAATGTAATTTAATTAAACAGAGTATTAAATAAATTAACCTGGGGGAACAAATCACTCCTCCACCTAAAACCCAAGTAGACGAGAATCCACTGAATCCAACCAGAAGTTCTTACCGTGCAAATCAGTGAAAACGTTCGTGTCGAGGTGTACAGAGAACACTAATTGGGCCTGGACCAGAAGAGTACACGAGAGTCATTCCGATTAATTTACCAGAACAGTGAGGCTTTGCTTGATTTACGAAACACATGGTGGTTGTGACAACAAAAAAGCTTAATAAACATATTATTGAAAAAGTTACTAAGGGAGAACGAATCGTTCCTCCATCCAAGAACCCAGGTACATGAGATTTCAGAAAAATCTTAGCAGTATAAATGGTGAATGGTTTACAATCAAACGAGATTTACAGACTTCAGAATAGTGAGTAGTCGGATGGTGCGAAAGGAGCGGCAAGGTTAGGAGGTGGTGGCGTATCAACGTAATGCACCCTTAGACAGCAAAATCATTTCAATGTA